ACTATATCTAGACATTGTATCAATGGCCGTGAAATCTAGTATTAAAAGCCTGCACGGAGAGGCTATCCTAGGGTCGGTAAATCTGTTTTCCAAACTCAGAAAGTTCTTGCATGTCCAACTATGCTCTCTAGCGTTTTTGAAACGGTGCCGCGACCATCATGTAGTACCGAAATGCTTTCAATTAAAAAACCCATTTCCATCTTTTAACCAGGTCAAAGGCATTCTACGACAAGCGTCGTTGAGGTTAGTCAAAGACCGAATCTCAGCCACCAAGAAGAACTTGGCTGAGATATCCCAAAAACTATTAAAATTACATCTCTCTCTTGCAAAATCGTTGGAGCCTGAGCTGTGACTGACACTGGATCGAGTTACTCACGAACAAGCTGTTCACTCAGCTGAGGCAAGAACACAAAAACAGAAGAGCAAGTATGATAAGATCAATCCACAGACTCAAATGCCAGTTCTCACACATACAGTTAAGAATCGTAGCGATCAATACCTATCACCATCCGAAGTTACTGTTCTAGCTAAGGGACACAATTTTGCTGTCACTTCTTCTAGTATCCCTACGGAAGAAATCATCAGCCAAATTGAAACGGCTATTTTCCACCTTCCTTTAGAGGCAAGCAATGACATCAGAAATCGAACAACCAACATCCTACGCAAAGCCAAACTTCCCAAACAAAATATAAACAAAGAAGAACGCCGAGCTCTCCACGGTCTGAAACAAAACAACAAGATCCTAATTTTACCAGCAGACAAAGGGAACGCTACTGTAGTTATGAACAGGGAAGACTATTGCAGTAAAATCAACAGTTTACTCTCAGACCAAAAAGTCTACAGGAAACTCAAACGCAACCCAACATCCAGCATAGAGAAGAAAACATCTTCTCTTCTGAAAAATGCAGGTCTCCCTCTTCAAACTATCAAGTATTTAACCCCTCAAGATTCTTCAGCACCTAGACTCTACGGTCTTCCAAAAATCCACAAGGAATCAGTGCCCTTACGC